TTTGATGAAGTGAAAAGAGACACTGTAGTGCTTAATAAATTGAAAGACAATGTGCAGAAACGTGCTGGACTCTGTTTAGAGAGAAATGGTTTGCATTTTGAACAATTGCTAAAATACACTTAGTTATTTATTTTATTAGGATTTTAATCTTTTTTTTTTTGTTTTATTGTAGGCAAGTTGAATTTCATTGATTTTAATTATTGTACATTCTAAGTTGATTCAAATTTTTTAAATACGCCTTATTGCAAAAGGTGCTGCCTACCTACCTACTTTGTAAAATTGCCTTCTGAGTAATTTAAACCTACCTACTACCTAGCTAATTTAAACGTTAACGAGTAACCTAAACTACCTTATCACTATGAAATTTAGGTAGGTACAATAATGCCTTTTGCGATCTGACGGTCCTAAGCCCGTTAAAGTATGAAGGAAAAATTTGCAACTTATGGATGTTATTATTTGTTATCAATCAAATGGCGGGGCGGGGGGCGGAAGCGCAATGCGCGGTGACCATTTACGTCAGGATTTTTTTTGGATAATTTTGTAATGCCTTATCTCAATATTTTAGTACTGAATGATACTAAAAGAAAAAATACGGATATAATTATTTTCATTGCAGATCATAATATGAAATTTTGGATAGTGTTTAAAAAATCTTCCTGTATAATTGTCATATTTTTACACAAAAATGCGATTAAAATTAACGCTCTATGAGACTGCACTTGGTGTTAACTATACAAATTTAATTGATAAGTGAGCAAAATCAAACGGATAATCGAGCTAGATTCGAGAAAAAGCAATAGCCTGTCAGCAACAGATATAAAAATCGTTGAATGTCATTTATTTTATCCACAACAAGTGACAACCCTCAAACGAGTCGCACTTATTGTGTGTCTTATCGCCGATCACATCTTTCGACCGCTTGAGCTTGCCGCCTGCGCCTGCGATGTTCGGCGCATAATACGTAATGGATTAAACAATTTACGGTTTCTCACTCGATCAGGACCAATGAACTGATGTTATTTACTGGCCTACGTGTTAATAAATAATTACTAGACAATTAGAAAAGCGTCCGCCACGTCCCACTCTCGAGGGGTATATAAATGGTAACACGCATCTCGTTGATGTCTTTTGCTTGCAGGAAAGACGTCGTCGTCCCGCTTTAGGTGCCGTTGCCGCAACCAAAAATAAGACTCGGTGTTTCGTTGCGGTCTACCAAAGTCGTTTAAGAGTCAATATTTTATCACGCGGCTAATATTTATGTGTATAATAAATAATTTATAGGTGTTTAATATATCCGCAGAGTTTTTTTAGTTATCATTTGCCGAGAAATAGCGGAACAAATTAGTAATGGCAAGAGTTTATGGCTGGAATAAGAAGCGGACAGCGGCGAAGATTCGCGACCACGAGAGCGGAACGCGCAAGAACCTAGTCGTCGTCGCACCTGCCTCGCAGCGCCATTGCAGCGTGTGCGATAAATTAAATCTAACCAATATTTTTCGCAAAAATTGCACGAAAGTGCACTCCACAAAGCGTACCATTCCTTTACTGCACCTGGGCAACAATCGGTGAGTACCTGACGCCGATTGGCAAATTCTTTCATTACATTGTATGCCATCGACACCATAAGAATAATTCTTATTTCGATATAAAGATTTTTAGAATTTTAGGTTCTTTATATGTTTGTACTCCCAAATTTTCAATGAAAGTCAATTATTAACAAATACCGGTATACCTAATCCACAGTGACACAGTTCGTGAAAAATTGTATAGAAGTTGCAAATAGAGCGACGCAATGAACCGCAGCCTATTGAACTTTGCCCATTTGACTTCCCAATAGGTGCACTATCATATAAGAGTTGGTACTCGGTATCTTGGTGCGCGGCTCGCGCTTTGTACCGTGACAATCGGAACCATTAATGATTGAAACTGTGAAATTATGTAATACAGAATATGCGTAATGAATGTCACAAGAATAGAGCAAAATGTTATTTTGCAGCATTTTGTGAGTCAGTCGACCACAAAGTGTCACAAACGCAACACGACATAAAATATTCCGCAGAGATTGACTACTTATTCCGCGTGGTTTCAAAATAGCGCAAGGTTTTGACAGGACGAGCGAGAGGTGCGGGGCAGCGGCGCAGCGCAACGCGCGTGTCGTTTACTGATTCGTACATTGACCATTTCATAGTTGCAAATTTTATATGAACATCACGTTTTCAAGTCAAAATAATAAAATTTAAAAGAAAAAAATGTACAGAAAATGTTAAATTTCACGAAAGTGGATTTCACACAATTCACGACTGCCCGAACAACGTAAATTTTAAACTTAATCTGACATGAAGTAGAAAAACAAACGAAATCATCATAAAATGTTAACGAGAGAAACTTTGCGGCGCCGGCAGCGCAGTCAGTGCGCAGTCGCAAGAATTCAGATAAATACGGGGAGGTGCGCGTGTGCACGCGTGTTGAATACGTCTCTATTTTGTTATTTTGTATCAATAACAATGACCCGAATGCTTGAGATCAAAATTCAGTTAGCATAATACGTAAGTAGGATATTGTAAACGCGGTCGAGGTCACTTGACTCGTTGTGAGGTCGTTACTGACCCACCACGGTGGAAAAGGGAAAAGTTGTCGGTGATGCGCCCAAGTGCCGAGAGTCTAACTTGAAAACCTCGGCCAGCGTTCGAGCCACCACCTACTGCATTGTTCCCACAACCAATAGATTCTTAATAGCGCTAATTTGTGTTTTGTAGTGTAGTATCAAAAGTTTCATAACAAATGCTCAACGAGCAAGGCATGCAAGGCGTGTTGGCTATTACAATTATTGCGAATTAAATATATAATATGATTTGGTTTATTGAACGATTTACTCGACGTAATAAAAACATTACTTTTAATTACTTTAACTGCCTCCATGGCCAAACGGTCACCATGCCGGATTGCCACGCAGAGGTCCCAGGTCCGATTCCCGGGCCAGGAGAAATATTTGTATGGCCTACATTTATTTCTCTCGTGAGTTTGGGTGTAATCTGTGGTTGTCTATGTGTGTGCCCATGGCACCCGCGATACAGGGTTTCCCTAGTGAGGGGCTATGTTGAGTGTGTGCGTTATTATTATTAAATCAATTGTACACGATTCCTACCAAACCATATCGATTAATAACAACATTTTTTGTGTTGTCTGTGGTACGACTTACTATTGCTTTGATTGTAAATCGTATGTCTAGGACCTCACGATTCAGGCTTACCTAATGTGAGGACCGTGGTAAACTTGAAATTATAAATATGTTCTGTCAAATAAATTGTTTTTTTTACTTATTTTTTATTTGGAATTTGTAACGGCTAATAAGATAATCACGAAATACAAAAGTTAAGACCTGAATACTGTTTCCTTGATTGTAATAATCTCCTACAGGTTTATGCAGTGATACTTTATGCTTTCACTTGTTCACCCGAAACTACTACGAACACCAAATACATCTGTAGCGTGTAAACTTGTTTGAAACAAATGCGTAATTGTTCTTCCTGCTCGAACCACTCGCTGTCTAACGAGACAGACCAGCCGCTATGCGGAAATGTCTACGACACGACACGCCACGAGATTTCGACGAGTTTGTGGCGTTTTATGGTAATGTCGATCTAATGTAGATTACGAACAATGCTTTTTATTGCACATTTCAAACGACATTCCAACACCAAAAATGAGCTTATTATAAGGTTGCGAGTCATCAACTATATAGATTATTACGACATAATCGATTCAGTATAGAAGACATCAACGAGGTGGGACTTTCTCTAATTTTGCTCCTAGAGAAACGATCGGAAAACCAAATAAATTCACGCGTAAATCGATATTTAAAACGCTAAACTTTACTTCGTACTTACATAAACTACGTTGATGTGTTGATGTCGCAAATGAGGAATGTGTTTTGATTGTAACCGCAGCGGCTGCGGCTGCCGCTGCGGCATTTTGCGCAATTACCTTCGTCTTTATTCGTATGCAATTAAGTTAACGTTACACTTGAATCGAAGATGCGCCGGTTGCACAACTACTTCAGTTACTACGCTGGATGAAAAAGCTCGACGTACATACTTGATTTATTGCAATGTGAGGTCTTGGCCGTACATTATTGATAGATGATATTGATAAAATTGACAACCTAATAAGCAATTCGAGTTGATTGAATGGCGTAATCCAGTGATGTATTTCAAGTGATTAATGTAAAAAGCAATAATATATGAAGATATATCTATATTCTATCTATATGAAAGTCATTTAGCACATACGAAGTACCCTATAAACAATAAACAAAAGACGAACTAAACCTAAACATGGTTCCGACTAACCCAATCGATCGTATAATGTTATTATTAATGCATGGTTTCACAAAGGGGAGTCCGTACGTTGTTGGAATGAGAAAGCGTACAAGCGAGATCAGCGATCAGCATTCAGCACGAAAAGTATTTCGTACCAAGCGATACTAGGCAACTATTTAAATTTATTTCTAGTCGGTAATGCAATTACAGTTTGCGATGACCCGGAGCTTTGCGACCTTCGTACGACGCGAGAGAGGCTGGTGGCTCCCAAAGAGCATGCGGCGGATTGTTGAGTGCTTCAGTAGATTGTTACAGTGACATTATATATAAAAAAAAATTTATGTTTTAAGTTAATATTCTACATATTATACCCTGAAATGCAAGTACATATTGTACACATAAAGTGTTCAAATCACGCTCATCGCGCGTTCGTTGACGACCGCGGTGGCCCCAAATTAACCTAATTTCCTTTAGTTTTCTCGTTTGTAGTGAATATTGCGACGATTGCGAACGAGCGGTGCTCGGTGGTTGACATGGATTTTACTCCTAACATTTTTGCCAACAGAATCTCAGAAAAGCTGTGCGCGAATCTAAACGATTCTTATTGGATTTATAAACTATATGTACACGTGCACACACCTACCCTTGTGCATACACACAGTAGTAGGGAAAATCACTCACCGTGCTCGCGGGATGCGCCGGCAGAAGCATTACCGGCGGCGGCAGCTTTCTCGCCTTTCGCACTCCATTGCCTCTCCTTCCAAGCCCTCCAGTTCCCACGGGCACAACCATCGGCGCCAGCGCTGCGGGAGGTGCTCCCAACGCCCTCACGCCGGCCGCGCCCGCGTGGCCGAGCCACCGCGTCACCAACTTCTCTTTGCTGTTGGCGCTGCCGTATTCTGGTGGCTCCTCCTAAACAAACGAGGAGAAATTGAGGAGGGAACATTAGTAGCATAGGCAACAAAGAGCTTCTTGAAAACCTTCTAATTATTTTGGTCGAGACAAACTAGAAAGACACTGACTTTCTTTTTCTTAGCGCCATCGCCCTGAAGCTTTCCTTCCAAATGTTTACAAAGCTCGTTGCTCTTGAGCCCGTCCGGGTCGTGGTGCGGCTTCTCGTCGACGTGCACTGCGAAGGACTGCAGCGGTCGCGCGTCGAAGGTGTTGTGGTCAAAAGGCTGGCGCGGGCGCAGGCACGCGCAGGCGCGCCGCGCGCATGCGCAAATCGACGCCACACTCGCGATACACTGTGCGCACGCAATTATTAGCAGCCCGATGTTCGTTAGCACTGGCGACCACGCTTCCATTTCATCCTGTGGACAACACCAAAAGCCTTTAGTAAATTTCTTACACGAGGTAAGGAGGTAGGTAGGTCGACAGAGACTCAGGCGGATGTGGATGCCCAAGTAGACACAACATTTGAGCAATAGATATGCAAACCAAAAATAAAGTCAATGTGACTTCTTAATTTGTCACATCACGTCTCCGATAATATCTACACAGCAAAACAAAACAACACAATTATCAACCTTCATTTAAATTTGGTGGGTCAGTGTACTGTTTTGCGGTCAACTATCTCCGTGCACAGCGGTCACCTCGATCGCCCACCGTCCATTCCGTCCGCGGCGTATGAGGCATAACCGTCTACCGTCCGCGGTCCTCCGGCCGACGGCGACGATCATAACGCTAATAGCTAATGAGCGCTCCGCATTTGCTTCTCACAACGGTACTCGCATTTTGTTTTCAATTACGTCTCCACTCGTCCACGCTCGTTTGCTGCCAGCAATGTTCAGCTTGCACACGCGACGAGAAATATCACAACAGGTGGATAGAAAATTATTGATAGCGGCGTTTAGAACACAACAGCGACCAGCTTTTATGTAACTTTGACGTTATTTTGTAGCGTCCCAACTCTTAGTGTTCGCGACAACTGACACATGTTCAGTAAATTTGAGCGGGTAAACAGATTCACTTGCAATTTACATTATATTATGTTCATCAGGTTTTGCTTATAACTTTGTCAGCGTACATGTCTGTTTGTTGTACTCATAGCAACGGAAACGTTATACTGAAATTTCCTGAAATTACTATTCAATTACATGCTGTAGAATTTGCGTGCACACAAATATACAAAGTTATTTTTTTAAATACTAGCAACCTCGCGGGACTCTATTACTGACAACATAAACAACAACTTTTGTTCCATGACTTACTGTTCTTACAAAACATAATAAATTTAACAAAAATAAACTATTTAGTTTTTTTATGCTATCTGACGCATTTTATATCTGTATTTGGTAGTAAGGTAAGTTCAAACGTACAAGCGTCCTCCGCGTCGACTCCCACCCACCCCTGTCTTGCACATAGTTATTACCGTTTAGAGCGTCTAATACCGTTTAAATATATTTTAATTTTGTGTCAAAGTAAAATCGGATGAATTATTAAAGGTCCAGAAGACAGGTTTTTATTTATATGGAGAGCGAATATAATTCTGCGAAATTGTACGTATCTTACAAATAACCCTGTGGAGACCGAAAAAATTCTAAAAACCATTGTATTTCTGTTGCTCTAATTAAATCTTCTCGTGTTCACTGTTTTAAAAACACGTGTGGTTATATTTAGGCTGAATACAGAATGAGAGTTGTACAGATAGCAGAGAGTGTGCCATGCTCGGTACTAAACTTATAAACCGAGGTCCGTATTCTGCAGTCCGAAAACGATAGAGATGAAGATCGTTGCAAAGCTAAAATGGAGCTGCGCATTGTATATCGCAAGGCACGACCACAGATGGAGTGAAACGGCTACTGAATGGTGGTCAAGAAGCAGTTTTTTTTTTTTTTTTTGTTCATATTTTCAAGTAACGGGACGAACAATAGGTCAGGTGGCAGTACTTCTCTGGATGATGATGGAAATGAACAAACAATATCGTTAAAGCCGGGCCATAGAGATAGCGCAAGACCGTGGTGGAAAGCGCAAACTAGGCCTATACCCGCCATACCCAGCTGCTACTGCGTACAGTAGTTCACTCGCTGGTGAAGATAAAGATAACCGATGCTGGTTCAGTATTCCACAATAATTATATTTTGTATATTTCTGTCATTGAGACAATTTTCGTCAAATAAGTAATCTTATTTGACGAAAATTGTCTCAAAATTGTGCCCATTCCCAATTATCAACGTGTGATTTGACTCGACAGGCACCCTACATGCTGCATGCAACGATTCACCATCTTTCCTCTAGTCTTTTACTAATGAATTTGATTGACTACTTCCATTGTAAACTCTTGGACATTTCATGTTGCGTGCGGTGTTTAATTAAGGACATTGGAAGCCACCAAAATGTAAAGCAATCGCCGGATGCCATTGTTGGTGCGCTCCACTCGTCGGCCAAGGCCGGAACCAATAAGACCAGCACAACGAAGAGACAATCTCGTGATGTGAGGTTACATCGATCCTCCACTCCGGGTTCTACACTTCCGAAAGTACTAACTCTTCATAAATAATATTGAGAACATCTTTACGTAGATATAAAAGTTAAAGTAGAGCCCGTTAACCGCGAGCAAGACTCACGCAACCAGGGTCCTCGTACTCGGGACCAAATTGTTATGTGATATGCAATGACTTTTTTTATAGTACTAAGTGACGGAACGAACAAGTCATGCGCCTGGTGGTAAACGTCACGCCTGTACATTGCACCCCATGAGCGGTGCTGCAACTGTTCTGCAGTGCCGCTCATAGTGATGCGAGCGTCACTGCTTGGAGGCAGGAATTGGTAAGGTGGCCGTACTTCCCTGGACGAACTCTTTCACGAGGAGCTGTACTGCTACTAAAGACACGTACATAGTCAATTTTTTTAATCATTATCCCTATAATACATGCAACACAACACCTTTCATCAGTATAATAATAGTTTTAAATTCTTTAATGGTATTTTAGCCCTTAGCTATGCTTTTTATCTTAGATCTACCGAATATTATAGAGTTCATTCAATCAGCGTAGGTATAAACTATATATTTTTTAAAGTTTCCCTTGTGTTTTACTGGCCACTTAAAATTTGTAATAATTGCCGGTAAGTACAAATAATCGCAGAGGCAAGAGGCGGCAGATTCTGAACTGTCTATTCGGTGGGGTCAAGGCTCTCCATCAAGCAAGTTTTAATACTTATCATAAAACACGAACGATGGTCGTCCGCTCGGCACACAAACAGCTGTGCATTACGTACTATCACAGGAAAAACCTAGGATTGCCCCTTGGCTTCCGGTCAAAGCGTGAATTCATTTTTAACTTCTGACTTTGACTTTTTACTAAATCGTTCAGTCGAACCTCGAAACGCTCCAAAAAAATTATTTTCGAACATACTAATCATTAATATGCATATAATCACAAATATCCCAAGATATTTGTATTAGTCTAGAAATAAAAATAAAACCATTACCTTGAATATCTCGAGTATCAAACGAAATACAATAGCTGGACAATTTCTGTACACTGAAAATATTTTGAAAAAACCTTTTTAAGCAAAAATACAGTTTCAGTAAAAAATTGGGTCGCGGGCCAGACAAATAAACAATATTTTTAGTAGCATAAAACTGACTTTTCTTTTCACGTATTTACGACATCACGATGTCCGAACACTTTTTCTGGGATTCGGATTGACCTCAATGCATAAGCCGTCTAATGTTGGAGTAGAGGATTTGAGAACGCGAAAATTTGTATCTTCGTCTTTTTACTTATTGACGGTGCTCTTTTGATATTTCACCAGCATCAAGTTTACTTTTATAGGTTTCTGCAGGTTCTTCTACATGTCAACGAGTATTGTGAGGGTACTTTGTTCTTGGTGTGCCAAATAAGATGCTTCCGAATTATAAGTAATCGTATGCTATTGCTGGTTATATAATCACAAAGATCCGAAGATCAAAGCTAATATTCCCCCGTTTCACATTAGTCAAGTAACTGATTTTGAAGTTAAGAAGAACATCCTTGCCATCTCGTCGAATGCCATTGGATTTGACAGCATAAGTCGTAACATGATCATCCCTCTCATTGATATCCTTACTCCAGTCATAACCAACCTCTGTCTCAATTGGTATTTTTCCTAGGGCGTGGAAAAATGCCCAAATTATTCCTCTTCCATAAAAAAATAAAGCCCTTCTTCCTTTTCCGAATATCGCCCGATATCAATTCTTCCTTTTCTCTCCAAAGTCGTTGAAAAGTTAGTCCATCACCAACTCACTCTTTTCCTTGCCCGTCGCAACCTTTTGTCGCAACCTCATCAATACCATCACCTCTTCGCTCACCTCTTCATACCATCTCTATGCAAATGATCTTGAAATTTATTTACGCTAAATGACTTGCCCAATGGCATTAGTAATACTAACAGAGATCTTGAGGGGATTCTCGCTTGAAGTCATGCGTTTGGTCTCAGAGTGAATCCTATCAAAAACCAGAGTATAATTATTGGCAGCCCTCGGTTCATATCGCGCATCGATCATGGGTCATTGCCTTCCATCTTATTCGATGGTATTCAATTCCCGATACGGGACACCGTTAGGAACCTTGGGGTTACTTTTGATAAGACCTTAACTTGGAAACCTCAGGTCACAGGTTAGTAGGAGGATGTTTGGTGCTTACATGTCCCTTCGACGTCTGGGGAATTTTTTACCCATTCCGACTAAAATTAGTCTGGCACAGTCGCTCCTTCTGCCTATTCTAGACTATGTTATCCAAACTTGTCTGAGGGTCTACTCAATAAGCTGGAGCGGTTGCAGAACCTATGCATTAGATTCATTTTTGGGTTGCGTTAATTTGACCATGTTTCAGACTTTCGATCCAAACTTGGATGGTTACCCATTCGTAGTCGTAGGGACTTTCGCATTTTATCCCTTCTATTCTCTTTAATCCCAAGCTCTCCTCCCTACCTCAAAGATTGTTTCGTGTGTCATAGCACTACACTCAGTCGCATCTAACGCTCTTCTCTTACTCTTTCTTTAAACTGTCCTGTCCACTCTTCTAACTTTTATTCTAACTCCTTCAAGGTTAGGTTAGCATCAAACTGTGGAATTCCCGCCTTAATTGATCAGACGCACTTAGTCTGTTGATTCTTTCAAAACTTTACTCAAAGCTCATTATCTTGTATGTAGGTAATTATATGTAGGTATATACATTAGTATATAACATAGATATAGAAAAAGGGGAGATTTGGTATGGGGGCGTGGTACGTGTCGCCTCGATAATATCATAATATATATATTATGATCAAAATGATAATATCGAGGTGACACGCCTTCAAACATCGCCACAGTGACATGGTGATCGTTGTACACACAAGATCTCTCGTAAAACGTGAAAATGCCCAGTTGTAGTGATACACCTTGTAAAAATTGGAGAGAAAACAAAAATTTTAAAACCAGTGAGAAAACATTCCACCGGCTATTTGCATTTTTAGTTACTATTTCTATTATAATTCAATGTTTTCTTTTTGTCTCCATAGAAATTTCTAGACTCAAATATAGTGATGTTCATTTACGACGACTGATGTTTATCGACAACACATTTTTACTGAAACGTTTGAATTTCTTATACGATTTTTGTAATTAAATTCCCTAAAATATCGAAGAGAAAACTGGCCCAAGCCTAGTGGCCGCCATTAAGAAAATAATTTATTTTAATATATTAATTTAGTAATACACCAGTACCAGTGTAAGTATAGTAAGAAAAATTGAATATTTTTTTTAATATTAAATTCCACATGGCCACATCTCTCGTTGAGTAGCGTCAGTTTAAGGTTAATAAGGTTAACAACTCACGGAGCGGTTTCCATCCGCGCCCGCCAGTTCTGCTAGACAGCGATTTTATTTCAATACTCACGACCCTGCAAGTTTGTGCGGGCAAGTAGCCGCCGCGGTTGCGGGCACGAAACCGTTGCGGTTGCGGGCACGAAACCGTTGCGGTTGCGGAACGGACCGCGAAGTTAGTGGGAGTTAACCGCAAGTCGCGCGGTTACTAGAGAACTCACCCTGCGTGCGCCTGCACCACATTGCGCCTGAACCAACCACCAAAGTGCGCGGGCGACGAAGGCCGCCAAGCGCGCAAGTGATCGCGTCCTGCGCGGTTCTACTAGCACCCCGCCGCAGCAGCCGAGAGCAACCGACACCACTACAGGCGCAAAACGCGCCGTGAAATGTGCTACTATTTTTACATACTTAACTGTTACATTCAACAGAAGTTGAAGACTCATTCTTAGTGTAACGAAAAATGAGTTTCAGCGCCATCTTACGTGTAATAGTTAGCTATTATATACTAGTAGCACTCTTACTAAAACGCCACCTATTGTGAATGGCTGAACCAGGATGAAAAAAATACTGAAATATTGAAATATAACTCTTATTCAAATGGTTGTAAGTTTAATTTTGTTAAATTTTAAAATTGTGTTACGTAGTTTTCACGTTTCAAGCCCTACCCAATCAAAATCTTTAAGTTATGGTAGTAGATAATAGAGCGTAATGTTTGAATTGCACACAAGCTAAAAGTGGCGACATCGGCACCCGATCTTACATAGCGTCATTACGTATCTCCCCTTTTTTTCTGTATCTATGTATATACCATGTACATACCTACATACAAGTGTGTAGGTATATAATTTATTATTATTATTTTATTATTAATATTATTCTTTAGTTATTTATTTAGTATTTTTATTATTACCATTGTCTTCTTCATTTGTATATGTGCAATATGTGTATTCTGTTGCGCCCCCAAATAATTTTATCTTACTGTTTTTCCTGTAACCTATAATTTTTACTTTTTGTTGTATTGTTATTATGTATTTGTCCGTGTGCAATAAAGAATATTTGTATTGTATTGTATTGTATTGTATTGTATTGTATTGTATTGTATT